GAGCTGACTTGTTACACTTGCTTTGTCAGGGACTGTCAACGGGACCTGCTCCTGTTACCAACCCTGCCCTGGACATGGTGTCAATGAGGACATTGCTCCTCCCCATGCTGTGGTCACCCTCAGCTCCTGGCTTGATACTCCTTGTGGAGCAGCTGCCCCCCCCAACAATAGGAACCACATGCTGAAGTAGTGAATGAGCACACACTCTAATGAAGATGAGAGGATTTGCAGCCTGTGTGCCAATGCTGAGCAGTGCCAAAACAGCAGCTGCTGCTCAAAGGCAGGGTCAACCAGCTAGGGAGCAGCTCAGCTGAAAATGACTAAGGCATCCCAGTGGACAGCAAGTTAAACATGAGCCAGCAGGGTGCCCCTGCATCACTGAAGGCAACTGATGACCTGGGCTAAATCAGTAAGAAAACAGCAATCAAATCAATATGGTTATCCCACATTACTTGGCACTTGTTAGGCAACACCAGTGACACAAGGTTCAGTTTTGATGTCTTCAATTCAAGACAGATACTGAAATAAAATGGAGAGGATCTAGGGGGGTTTTGTGTGTTGTGTGTGCATGCACACGTTTGTGTCCACCAAGACAGCTACAGAGATGGAAAACTTCACATAACAATGGTTGAAAGAATGGGGTTCATCCACCCTAGAGAAGGCTCAAGGTGGATCTCATCTCCAACTTCATCTACTGAAAAAGTAGTTGTAGAGGAAACAAAGATATCCTCTTCAAAAGGAAGCACAGTGATGGGCTGCAGACACAAGCTGCTTCACAGGAAATTCTGCTTGGATAAAGGAAACAAACAAAAAACCCAACATTCACTGTAGAAACTAAACACTGGAACAGGTTGCCCAGAAGTGGTGAAACTTCCCATGAGGGAAATATTCAAGATTTGGCTTCATGGGATAGCCCAACTTATGTCCCTTGCTTCCAACAGAAGGTCACATCAGATGATGTCCAGAGTTCCCTTCCAAACAAACTAGACTACTGCATGATGCTCTGACTTAGCAAGACACATACTTACCAGACAGATCTTGTTCTAGTGGTTGAAAACAAAACAATCACAAAAGCCTCAAGCTAGATTCTCGTGAATCCAGTCAAACCTCACGTTACGCATTATTCAGGTACCTGTTATTTAAGCAGATCCCTTTGCATAAGAATTAGGCATAAAAGGTGGCAGGATCTTCTGTCACATAAGCACCCGAGCTGACGACTGCAAGTACACCTCTCCTGTACTTTTATCAAAGTAAGACAGTATGACTTTGGCAGAGAACTCTAGTAACAATTTGTATTACTTTCTTTGCCAGTATAACCCCTCTAAAATGATGGGGATAACGTGCAAGCCACATGCTTAAAATCATAAAGCATCTTAACAGCTTAGGATTCTTTTTCAGGAGAAAAAAAAACCTGGGAAATTTGCTCTGAACTTCTCCATTGTCCTGACAAACTGTCCTACAAAAAGCACAAACGTACAATGACTGCCTGGTAAGCACATTCCTGTTCTTTACATAGGCCTATTGCAATTCTGCTCATTGACTGCTCAGAAATAAATTAATTGGATTTGTGCTTTAAAGGCCACTTGTCATTACATATGACATTTCATCTTTTATTTTAAGCTCTGTCCCTGCTACAGCAGAATATCACTGTTGGTGTGTGTGCTGAAGCATTTCAGTGTCTCTTGTGGAGACTGAAGAACAACAGCACTGCCATTGTACTGAATCCCATCTTGCTTCAAAATTAATACTAGGTCAGGTACCGACTTTTGAAAGACAAATATACTAACTAGATGGTACAAGGCTGAACACCTGTGTGGCCAGAAATCACCAGGGCTTTTTATTAGTTTTCAATGTTCTCACATGGGCTCCTAAACTAGTCCAAGTCTCAGGGGAGAAAAAAAAATCAATCAAAAAATACCAAGATGACAACAAAAGCTCCTTCAGAGCACCTGAAGACCATCTTCTTGCAAGATACTCTGCGACATTATTACAGTACCTAGGAACCTTAAAAACTGATCAGAATTTTCACTGAGGTAAACAATATGTTAATTTTTTGTATGCTAAAACAATCCCAGACACATAGGATCATCCACATGATTAAGCTGTTGACCACAAGCCTTAACTTGGCCACAGCTTTAAGCACAGAGTACTTAAACTCCACAGTTATCCACACGTAGACAGTACTGGCCAGAATGGTGATGGGAACTAGAGGTATCAGGTCCTTTTCATCAGCTGCAGGTGGACCTTGAGCAAATGGCTCACTGATCCCCAAGTGCACCTTTAAAATCAGAAAAATGACATTGACTTCCTCTGAAGTGCCCGCAATAGTTTTGCGACACAAGGATCCCCCAACTCTGCTTCCTTCTCCTTGGTAAAATATTCATCTTTCACCAGCTGTCCATCTCCCTCCCCACCATCAGCAAAAACTCTAAGTTTACTTCTATTAAAAAGTCTTCTATTAAAACCAGTTTTCATACCTTTGAATCAAACCTCATTACAGACAAGAGTATCGAAGTTTGTCAACAGGCAAGTAAACTACAATTCACACACCCACCTATACTAACAACCTTCCATTCTGTGCTTCTCCTGAAGCTTTCCTTACTTAGGAAAACTCCCTACTCATACTGTCATACATGAGAAAACATTCTCCTCTCATTTGACTTTGCACATCACTAGGAAGTAACTTCACTACTTCTATGTCATTTAGTTTTACATTGCAAATCTTCCCCTTGAGATTATTTTCTTTTAACCCATTAATATCTGAGTCCTTGGTGATTTTTAATATTCATTAGTACAGCTATCCTGACAACTCTGAAACAGATCATTCTAAACTAGTTCCACCATTCATTATTGATTTTCTAATTAAACTTAACATACTCTAGCTCCTGATTTTTTTGGATGTTCCTCAAAGTCACAATCTCCTTAGCTATACAGGGCCCTTTGAAAAGTTACATTAGTTTCTCCAAGCATCTGTATAACACTGTAAAGGCACACTCCTTTATGTCTTACATTCTACAGAGAACTGTAAAATAAAAACATTTTAAGAATTATGCCACAGACCTTCCTGAGCCCTAAGGAATATTTATAAATATGTCCTAATTCAATCTCCAATGTATAAGCTTACAAGGTCAGTACTCGGTTGCCATCAACCTTTGTTGTGGTTTACAAATGGAGGTGATGTATTCTTTCCCATTTTTGTTCTACAATGTTAATCAAACCAGGAGTCCTGCTGCAGAGCTGAGCTGCAGTATTATTTTTTCCTAACACTGCTTTTGTGGGAGCAATGCTTGAGTATCAAGCCATATGAAATTTCTAGGACTTGTTTTCTTATTCTTCTTAAAGTAGCAAAGACCAAGCAATGCAGAAGTAGCCCTCGGAATCCTATTACCCATCTCAATACTTAACTGTGAACCTTCTTCCACCTCACCATCTTCATTCCTCATACAGACATAAGCAGTAAAAAATAACCCCTCTCTGCCCCCACAACATACACAAATAAAATGCATTAAACCAAAAGATACATTCAAAGACTTGCAGAAGAGAAATAACCAAATTGCAAGAAACAACATGTATTTCCTAGATATTCTCAGGTTCTGCTGATTGGTTTTGTTGGTTTTTTTCTTTTTTTTTTGAGAGAAGTGTTTAGAACAAGTTTCCCCACTGCAGTACATTGAAAGCTTTGACATTTAATGTTAGCGTAAGGTTTCATAGCAAGCATGTTTCAGTCCTCTTTCCTCTCTTATGAGCATTTAAGTTCATGGCAATGATGTCCTTTTAAGCCCATGTGGAACATCCAAGAATAACTGGTGCTAAGGGGCTAAGAAGCTTGAACTGTGCATCTCAGTGACCCGAATCCTGAATTAATATTCTGTACACAGTGAATTTTACCTTATTAGTGAGACCCAAAAAAAAGAAGCCCAAGAAGAAACATATGCAAGCTAAAATGGTGGCATTTTCAATAACGCACTAAATTATTTCCTTCCAAATCCTGGATTCCCAGGGCCTGGATTTCTGACGTCATGACCAGGCAGTCTTAGGCCAAGTGAAGGCCTGAGAATAAAAGAAAGTGAAAGACATCTTCATTCAAAGTCCATTTTGAGAACTCAACTGCATGTTTCTATATATAGCTATTGTCTAATCTTTAAAGCACTAAAGTAGATTTTACTTCAGTTTTAATCAAAAAGGTAAAGAAATAATTTACAATTCATAAGACTACAGCTTTTAAGAAATCATTGTATTTGAAGAATTCAAAACAAAGAACAATACAGCTAGATTAGTAAAAAAAATTATTAAAATGCTAGCCCCACGGACTTAACATATAAATGAAATACATGTTGAGCATCAGCAATGTCTTAGCACAGATGTTTGTCATAAAAGTATCTCATGAATTACAGCTGGTTACTAATATGATGCAATAGAAACAACAAGCAGGGTAGGAGTCAAGACCAATTATTTTTTTATTTTAAATATTGACATGGCTTTACAGTCAGAAATCTTAAATTAGTAGATCTGGAAAGGAGTTCCAAGAAGACTACATGCTAGTGTTTGCCACAACTCTTTCATACTCAGTACAGACCATCACTACCCCTGTTGTATCCACAGTTCCACATAAGCCACCAGTGAGTAACATTCCTACAAAATCTCACCAGGAATTTTCTGCTTGCTGTGACACTTAAGTAAAGCGTCCTGGGAAAAGAAGGTTGCCACAACTTCTGAACTGGAAGTTAATTAGGAGTTGTCATTGTTATTAAGTATATTTATTAGTCTGCTAACCTGCTGTTATAAGACTAAAGTACAGATACACAAGTTAAGAAACATACATATCAGTTCTTGTATACTAAAATCAAAGAAAACATGCCTAGTTTTTAGAAGGTGAGAACTTGCTCTTATTTTCAGCATACTAATGGGGGAAGTGATTAAGAAATAGAAACATGAAAATCCGTATTATGTTTGTAGATACAACATAGTAGCAAATTTACTAGTTTGAAATTAGCACTTACCAAAATCTACCCTTGTTAGTATGCACTGCATTGGATGGTCAGTTGTATGCCTTGTCGTCGTTGCACCACTTTCATAACAAGTTGCACACAGATCGTAATCGTAGCAAATTAAACACTTGTATCGGCGACCTCGAAAATTTCCTTTTAAACATGCATCACAGCTGACACCTGTAAACAAATAAAATTGCTTTAAAACAGCAATAAGTGCACTATTTTTCTAAGAGGCAGATTTGTTGCTACTGCCTCTCAACAACTAAAAGAAGCCAGCCACCTCTGACATGTGCAGCTGACACAAGACTCAGTTTTTAAATGTATTTACATCTTTAAAAGACACTGCTCTCTGAAAATTGGAATCTTAAATTCTTGAAGTAAAATAAGGGCAAACTCAAGCATCTGAAATAATAACAAGTTAAGTTATAAAATCTCTTTGGATGCACCTTCCTACAGGCACCTTTACATGGTACTATTGACTCATATTTTGACTGTTCAGTTAGCAATCTTGGGCAGAACACTCTTAAAATCTCAACAGTATAAGTGCTGATTGAGAGAAAAACCACAAAAAACCCCACACTAATAAGCAAATGAACCACTGGCAAAAATGCACTAGCTTTTCAGCCTTCAATTCCTAATACTTTAAATTTGGAAAAACACTATAACCATGCCTGACATATGTGGGGTGGAAATTAGGACCTTTTCCCATTTTAAGTAACAGAAGAAAAGATTTTTTTTTTTTAAGTTAGGCTGCATAAGTTCTCTCCACCCTATTTCTTTCTCAAGCTCAATCTTTGGATTATAAGGTAGTTGCACTGCATGTGTCAGAGAAAGGTTTTATAGCTTCCACAGCTTCTCATTTTTCTCTGTGTGGTTTCAGTTCTGCTTTGGTTACTTAGTTAAGTGGAGGAGAAGTGTCATCATCTTATAATCTGTCAAGTCTAACATAAACTTCCCTCAATTGCAGTAGCACATTAAGGGCCTCCATGAATGAAACCAGTGTACACAATGAAGGCAGTATTTTGATCAACATCCTCTTTCAGCTCAGCTAAGACATGTTCTTCATAGCTTGGTACAAGCACAGACAACTTTAGAGAAACTGCCAGAATGAAACCGTCACGTTAGCCACCCCTCTCCTTTTTTAAGCCTAATTGCAAGGACTAGTGTTAACTACAGAAATTTTTTTTTCATTTTTTTTGTTCTGTTACTCTACTCTGTAGCATCTGAACAGAAGCTTTACCACATGTAATACAAGAGTGTAACAATAAGTAATTTCTTTTAAATCTCTGCTACTTGTTCAAACAATTTCATCATCACATTTAGATGAATGGTGGACAACACTATTCTATCATTTTTTCCTTTAGTTTCTTTACCTACAGGGATAGCTTAAGGCATTATCTAATTGTTTCTAATGTTTAAGCACCATGCTTATATAAATACTGAACCTCTTTCTTTAGTTGCCTCACTCAGGATCTGCTTTGAAAGCATCACTCTGCATAAAGAATGTATTAGAAGAAAATATTTCAAGAATCTTTTTTTAATAGCCTCAAAGAACTACATTTTCAGGATGGCCCTGTTACCATCAGGGAGTTCAGGATTTTTCCATCTTTCTCACTTGACATGCTTTTCTCTGAAGTTTCATCCATAAACTCTGAAGGATCTGTAGCAATCTTTGATTATTTGGATACTGACAGTGACCAAACTTCTGAGAATACCTGCTTGGTAACTCTGTAGAATTAATTTCATTGCCTCTGTGGGTTTGTTTGCCTTTTTTTTCTTCCATATAGAGATCTAAAAAATTTCACCTATGCAGGATCCGTATCTCCCCAACAATGCATGCTAAGCACAAAACACTTATCAGTTATTGGCAGCACTGCAAGTCTTTTTGTTGCCTACTAAACCTTCTAGAGAACAGGTGATCTGCAAGTTAGACATCACACTGACATAAGCAGACTAGTTCAACCTAGAGTCTATGTCAGATACCAACAGCTCTCCAGATGAAGTATGGTTCTCCAATGAGTCATATTTTCCCCACCTTCTTCCTTTAAGCTCAAAACAGTTGATTTAATGCAGACGTAAGCCTCTTTGCAACAGTCAAACTCCTGTCACAAGTTCTCTCAAACATCGAGATCATTCCTACACGTTTTTAAAAAATTTTTTATTTACAAGTTTTCTTCATGCCAATACTTCTCCGTATCATTCCAGACTACAACCCCCATACACATTGTGATATTAACTTTGGAGAAATTCAGCCATAAACATAAATCACAACATAATGTTTGTATTTAAAACTTAAGAACATTTCCAGGGGACGCATACAACAAGGTCTTAACAACAGATGAATTTTGCATCTTATGATCAATTATCAGGAAGTCTACAATCTGAGTGGAACAGAAAGAAACTAACATTACCATAACACATCACTATGGCTGGTAAGTCAGAACAAACAAGTAACAAAGTTAGATACAGCATGCTACCTACAACTCTCAGAGTTAATATTTCGCCACAACTACCACATCCTCCTCTTGGAGAAACAGGCTCACAGCAGGGGATCTACCATGTTACTTTTATATCCTTTTGTGTAGGAGAAAAGGAAAGCTACAAAAGGGAAAACGATTAATTAAATTAACAGCCTCAGTTTGGGAGCTAAACACTCACGCTTAAATCCCCAGATCTCCCCCTGAATCCAGCAGGACCTCTTTTCCAGAGGTTACATCACTTATTTTTTCCTCCCTTGTCACACAGTCTCACCAAAGTCTGTTACAGATTTTCCTGTTCTTCAAGCCTATTACTTAGCTACCAAAATCTCACCCAACCTATCCAACCTGGGATCTGGAAACTGAAATACCCAGGCAAGTAATCTCCTCCCACCCCTATTCTTCCTCCTACAGGAAACACTTACTTCCTTATCAAAGCTTTGGGTTTTTCACTTTTCTCTAATCATTATATCAACTGAAATTCCAAAAGATCTTTTCCCTGTACAAACCCCAAACACTCAAAGATAACATATTCCAGTCAGCACAGCATCTTTTACTTGATGCCTATCCAACATTTGCCTGCATTTGCCTTACATTTGCAAACACAGCAAGTATGTTACATATTCAAGAACGTCAGATTGAACTGGATGCATACATATTAATCACAGGTTTTGAGAAAAAAGCATATTCTGGAGGGGTTCACTTTGAAGCAGGAAACAAAAGCAAACAACCAACCAAGAGAAGAGCCTAAACAGTGTGGGACAAGGATTTAGATAGTCTGCATACCTTTCTGACTTGCATGAAACAGTACTGACTTTTAAAAGCATCCTTGAATTAAATCCTATTAACCCCAAATGAATTGCTATTCAGTGAGAACTTCTGATTCAACTTTTGCAAAGCAAAGATTTGGAATTATCAGAGTAAGAAATCTCACTTTCATTATCATAGGCGATAGAGGTGGCTTCCTCAATTTTTTTTCTACTTTGTTACTGCTATACAAGTACCCACATATACTGCACACCGTGTATCAGGACTAATTAAAACCTTGCTGCTCACTGACAAAGCATGTTGAGTTTTAACGCAACACTGCTCCACTAGAGGGCGGCATTGTGCTGAAAGCCTGAGGCGTTTTGGTTCACCTCATGTTCTGAAAGTTTCTTCAGCAGCATTCACTCACAGTATCAACAGTCTCAGTCTGTCCAGCTTCACATTTTGAGCGAAATTAGTAAGGAGGTATTTGAGTCCCAATATGTTTTAAACTTCAATACAAAATTCTTACTACTTATGTTAAGTCATCCCACATCTTCACCTGATCCAGGTCAATGACTTCAGGGAAGATACTATCACACGAGCATGTTATATATAGCCTGCTGAATAGTGATGTTTAAAAAAAGCCAACCTCCTCCTCCCTCTCCCAAATCTCTCATACTTTTTTATTAATAGCCAAATATAATTTACTCTTATGACATAGAATTGGTTTTGCTAGAAATTAACAAAAATTAAGCACTTTCTCCTGGGTTTCACAGACCAAAGACATCACATAGTCTGATTTCATAATGGAGAGGATAATGCTGGACAGGCTGTGGTTCAAATATCACATACAGCAGGATTGATTTGTTTTTACAGTTACAAGCAAAGCTTGTAAGGTATAACATCAATTAAAGTGTCCTGAATATCCTATTACTGCCTCGTATAGACACCCATTTGTAACAGAGCAAAGTTTTTTCCCCCCACTTGGCCTCCTCAGATACTGTGAGCAATCAGAATAATAATATTAGAAGCCAAATAATCTGGCCCAGATAAAAATCATCTGAGAAACTGAACTCAGCATTTTTTTTTCTTATGAAGAACATATGGTCAAAGATAAGGTATGCAGAAACACTGGAATATGTTCCTGCCTCAAACAACATGAGCTGCTAAACTTTATCAATACTTTGGATGTATCATTTAATTTTGAGAAATTTCAGAGAAAGTGCCATCCACTAATCACTAGAAAACATTTAAAACATACAAAGCCTGCATCTCAAGTATTCAAACAGTGAAGACAGCAACATTTAGTGCTCATAATCCTTGTGCTATCCCTGAGAATTAAACTCCTTTTGCTGTTTTAGCAACACATTGAAAACATTAGGTTCATGGGTAGTTTCACCATTTAACATTCCTGTCAGCAGCTAAATATCCAAAACTTTCTGGCCTGTAATTTAGGTACTGTTTTTAATTCAGCAGTGCTCAGAGTAAGGATCACTCAATTTCTTCAATGTCCAATAGAAATACAAAATTAGCATGTCAATGATTTCTTCTCCAGAATGAAAATGCCAGTTTGTCAAGCATTTCTTTCTACCCTACATGAAATACTAAAGGGGTTCACCCATCTCAAAGACTGACAGAATTACATGCAATTTCAGGGGGACTGGACGAACTTGAAGGTTTCTGCTTGCAAAATTACCTTTCAGAAATCCCAACTTAAGCATACAAGTGAAAATTAAAAAGTTGTGCTGCCTCTGTTGTGGTACAAGAGGTGCAACCTGTATACTGCAGGAGCATATATGCCATCTGATAACGTTAAAAAAGAAATGCCAGATGTTTCCTTCTTTAATAGCCTCACCTCTTAATGCAGACTATTGCCTAATTTGAGAGGTTAGTTTCTAGGAAGAGAAACTTCTGTTGTTTCTGTGAAAATTTCACCAGAAATTCAGCCAA